GCCTGGCAGCGGGGGCGCTGCAGCCAATCAGGGGCGGCGCGTGGCTTTCCCCGCCCGTCAGAATGGGGAGGGCGGGCTCCAGACGTAGCGGGAAGAAAAAGGCGCCAAGAGAGGGGCGGGCGGGGAAGCCCCGTGCCTCAGCACGTGCTTCGTGGGCCTCCGCTGCACCCCCATCGTTTTAAGGGGCCAAGGCCCTACTGCACCCCCTCGATTTTAAGGAGCAAGCCCCCTTGATTTTAAGAGCCAAGCCCCCACTGCACCCACTTTATCCCAAGGGGCTGGGAGGGTCCTGGGGGCAGGGGCACTGTCCCCTCTGTCTCTGCAGGTGCCTCCTCCCCTGCATCCCTTGCGGCCTCCAGACACAACAACCCCAGGCGCATGGCATGCCTGCGGGTGGCACCGCTTGTTCTGTGGCCCGACCACACGTGTGCCTAGGGTGGCCATCACAGGGGACAGTCCGGTTGTCCCCTATCGATATGAAACCGGATGCCTTTATGTCTTCTGTTTTTCTCCTGAAGAGAAATAAAGGCGTTGCGTTTCGTATCAATAGAGGACAGCAGAAACCCCGAATGTGATGGCCTCTCTATGATGACCACCCTCTGTCACCATACACGTGTGCGGGTAAATAAGATCTGCTAAACGGCATGGAGCCCACTTGGTTGACTTCTCCGAGGCAGCGTCTGACATCTCCACCTCTTGTTTTTGCAGCCTGGCAGGCTGCGTCTTTTTTCAAATCACTCCTAAAAAGCAATCGGGTGTTTACTGTCCCAGTTTAAGTTCAGGGTCGAGGGTTGCGATATGCACTTTTTCGTACGTATCCAGGTAGAGAAGCAGCCTTTAACGGGCGAATGTCATCTCAGATTGGGCCTCCACGTGTGTGTTTTGCACGAACGAGCTGCTGCAAAAGCGAAGGCCAGCCGAAATGTTTCCGCAATATTTTGACTTTAAACAAGTCCCAACAGGAACAACTGTTTTTAAAACAAGCAAACACTTCCCAGCAGTGCTTGCAAAGCAAACACTGCAGAAACCCGAAAGTGAAACTTGCTATAAACACCAGTGAGATTGACTGGTCTCCATCATGTGAAAACAGTGCAAAGGTGAATGAAACACAGATGCTCAGCATAAATTGCATGCTAAAAATTCCTTCATGCCTTGTATCTGTTTTTTTGCTGGGTAAAAACACTACCGAATGCAAATTTGCTGCAACACGTGTTGGGGCTCACTGCATCTTGTAGACCTGACTGCAAGCAAGGCAGTGGAGAAGCCAGTTTTCATTTAGTCCTTGTCCATGTTTTCAGGTCTTAGATCCTCTTAAACTTACATGACTATTTCATAGTAGTGGTATTAGGATCTAGATTTTGACCCCCGATATTGGCTGCTTTGAATCTCTCCGGCGTAACTGCCCTGCTAGGAAGCTGCTCTTTTGGAAATACTGCAAATTACTCCTTCTTAGCAAGAATTTCAGGTAGGATAGGCTGGTATAGCAGCTCTCCTCCCTTTCCTCCTTGAATATTAGTGTGGGGGATTCGGTCAGGACAAAGGAGCAAGAGTGAGGCGTTCTCTGTGTCCCAGCTATTCTCAGCAGCTGAAATACAGGTTTCCCTCCCCAACCACGGTTTTGAGTATCCACATTTAATATTCTATATACCATTTTGGCTACCACGGTATACAGTTTTGAGTAACCACGGTTTTCCGTGGCCGTGCGTCAGCCCACCACCTGCCATTTTTCCCATAAGCCTTTTGTCTTGCCAACCACGGTTTTGCCAACCACGGGAACTTTCAAGAGCCTAACCCCAGCGGCTGGCGAGGGAAACCCTGTATCCCCTTGCATTAGGAATGGTAGGCGCAAGTTAGAGCAGCCTTCAAACACCAGCGGGATCCAGGACGTTGCAAGAGATTACGTTTTTGGTTGAATGTTCTCAATTTTGCTCAGTCTGATTGTGAATTTCATTTGGGAAATTCTGCTGGGCTGGTTTGGAATAATTCTGTGCCATGCATTTAGTGGGATATCCTCTTGCACAGGTGACTGGTAGGGGGTGCACGTGCCCCCCCGGCAGGGCTGGTGCCCCCCCGATGGCCAACACTGATACTGTCAGTATGGCTGG